AGCCTTCACATCAGACTCCCAACGTTTAACGAGCTCATGGTTGGAACTGAGTTTTTAGAAACAGCAAACCAAATACTGTCTCCAGTTACAATGATACACAAACAAAAGATCTAGACATTAGCCCTGGCAGATGTGATACAGTGGATTGAGCACCAGGCATGTGAACCAAAGGGTTGCCCATTCAATTGCCAATCAGGGCACATGGCAGTGTTGCAGGGCCAGATCCCCAGTAGGGGGTCTGTGAGAGGCAACCACAGATGGATGTTTCTCTCCCTCTCTTTCTCCTTCCCTTTCCCTCTCTCTAAAAATAAATAAATACAAAAAATAAAAAAGGATTTAGACATTATCCTGCTTACTTTAATCATTTTTACTGTCTCAACCCCACACGCCTCCAAACCCTGAATTACTGTCTGCAACAGGCCAAGAAGGTGAGTTTATCTAATAGGGCCTTTGCAAATGTAAATAAATTAAGATAAAGTCATGCTGGTGTAGGGTGGCCCTTAGTTAATGCATATGATATCCTATAAGAAGAGGGACATTTGGACCCAGAGACAGGCACACAGGATGAGAACAATGAGATGACAGAGGCAGAGACTGGAGTAATGTGTCTGGAAGCCAAGGGAAGCCAAGGACTGAGGGCTCCACCCAATAGTGAGAGATGTGCATGGTCCAGAGTCTTCCCCAGATTCTCACAGAGAAGATAGTCCTGCTGACCCCTTGTTTTCAGAGGTTACTCTTCCAACTGTGACAGATTAAATATGTAGGTGCAAGCCAGAAAACATTGAAATATGTGAGTAGAAGACTCATGGGCAGGGACAACAGGGTGGGAATAGACTTCAGGGCGGCTGGGCAGGGCAGGGGATGGCAATGGGGAAAATGGTGGGAAAGCTCCAATTGAACAATGATAAAAAATAATAAATATAATAAAACTAAAATGTATTATATTTAGAAGTATAAATGTTGCATGAAAACATTTTGAACAAAGAATAACCGAGAATGCCATCTGGGAGAAACCACAATATCATTGGGTCACACTGGGAACATAATATTCAGATGAAGACATGAATTTGTGAAAAAACCAGCAACGTTGGTAAGTTTGATGCTAATCATCAGTATACAAGTGACATGGTCTAAACACACTCTCCATTCTCTCAGCTTGCTATTTGTTCCTCTTCCTGTTATCCACACTGCACACCTGTGGGGCAGGGTGTTTCAGATGGATTCTTCACTCTCTGTGCTGCTGCCAGAGTCACTGTGTGTCAGAGAAGCAGCTGTGGACGTGATGGGGCTTTAACCACATGCACAAGGTCACCGTTTTCCCAAGGTCATCCAAACAAGTCTGACCACGTTTTTTGGGAAATATTTTTGTTGAGCAACTAATTTCCTATTCAGACTTATTCCCCTGATCATTTCATTTGGTGATTTCTCCTCAAAAGTTTAGTGATTTCCATTTATTTCCCTATATTGACAAGAGGCAATTTAAATTTGAAAAATTATTCTTATCATTAAACGATGACTCTATTTTTGTGTAAATTAAATGTGTTGAAACACAAGGACACATACCTGGCAGTACTGCAGTGATGTGAGGAACAGTGTGGCTCTGCAGTGCATGTGGATACGTCATACTCTGACCTCTGACATTTCCACACCCCACAGGGTCACAACTGCTGGGACACTCCTCCCTTCTGCACCTGTTTCTATGGCTGTTATTGTAGATTACGTTTTTTTCAGTGAATCTACATTTCTTTTCTCTGACCACAATGAGAAGAGTATACTTTGCAGAAAATTAACAAGGTTGGCCACATGTCTGGCTTGGTTAGTACAATGTTTGTGAAAGTAACAGTTTATGAGATCAGAGCACAGCCATTAACTAGCACATTTCTGCTTCCTCTGTTGAGAGTGGCTAATCCCTGCTCTGAGAAGGTCCCATGTCAGGTAGCCCACTGTTCAGAGAATAAAAGACATAAATAAGATCTGAACTGAATCTGTGGTCTGGAGCTAAGCCCACACATGCTCAGCCTGTATCACCTGAAAGCCAACCACACCACACATGGTTAACAGAGAAAAATTGAGTAAGATTAATGCTTGTTTGCAAATGCCAATACAACTGGGTCATTTGTAACACAATGTCAGCTATTAGATATAACTCAATACACATATCACATGAAATTAATTTTGAATAGCCACATATATATATATATATATATATGCACATAATGAGTAAATATAAAGAACATAAAGAAGATATATTTAAATTAATGAATGTATAGGAATTATTCATCCATTTTGCATATGATAAATAAATATAGGATCTCTCCCATTTGTAACTGAATTATAGTAAAACTACCACTCAATGATGTCAAATTAATAAATTTCTTTCCACATTCTGTCAATGACTAATGTTTAATTCACATGCACATGTTATCTTTTTAGTTTTTATATTCTCATTTTTAACATTATATCTTTTCTATCAGTGTAGTTTCTAAGCATGGGAATTCAGAATTTCAAAAGGGAAAGAGAAAATGTTTAATAAAACAAGGTACCTTCAAAAATAACTAAAATCCAGTAGAGGAAAAAAAAGAACAGATATATAAGAGATATCAAAGGACACTAATTATTGCCCAATGAAACTACTAGTCTCTTACCAAAAAATGGCTACAATCATTGATAATGACGCACTAAATAGATTCAGAAGATACTGTGTTGGTTCTGTTGTCCCAGCAAGTGGAGTACAGTCACATGGCTGTTGTTATGGAAACCTTGGGGTTGTTGCATAGTGACCTTGAGTGCCAATTAGAAATTTAGTTCTCTCTGCTCCAAATCTATATGCTTTGCCCTTTCTGAGATAATGGCACCAGATCCTACAACCTCCTCTCCAGTCAGCTGGCTTGACATTTTGTCAGGAAAGGGCACTGGGAGAAAGGACTCCTCTTCCTGATTTCAGGCTGTTTTCTCTCCTTGGCTACAGTGCTGTGGCTGACATTTGCATGCATGCAGGAAGTTCTTGTGGTGTTCACCCTCCAGTGAGTTTTGGTACTAGTCAGAGCCATAGCTCCCCTTCTCCACCCTAGGAGGCTGGCGCTGTGTCAGAGAGATCATCCAACTTTCCAGTCACACTGTGAGATCCACCCTCACCCACATCAGCCTGCAGACTGGGACCTGCTCTCTGCTAGAGCTGTCCAGTGAGTGTGTCTGCCATAGAGTTTTCTGTAGTGACATGAGTCTGAAACCTATCCCTGAGGAGATACACTTGGGTCATATAGGATTCTTCCTTTTGTTACTCTTAGTTAATTAACCCTTTGGTACATTTTGTAACTTTCTTCTATCCCTCTCTATAGGCTATCACCCTAAGATACTTAATAATTCTTTAAACCATCCCTGATTTCTCTCTCCTGACTTAACTGCCTTAGACACATTGATATCCTGATATGTTCAATCCTCATTTTCAACATTCAAAGGCTGGGGAAAGTTATATTGAAGATATGTCTACAATTACTCATGTTCATTTAGACTTAGAAGTAACAGTGCTGATATTACAATTCATAATTTATACTTGACATATTTTAATTAGTAACAAGATTTTTAAATGCTTCATATGCACCTGGATGTACATTTTTAAATTTTAACATAAATATACATATCAAAACAATTCTACAACACCAAGGATGAAGCTTCAGATAAAGTGCAGACTCTAAGTGACTACGATGTGTCGGCACAGACTCACTCTCAGTAACCAAGGTCCCATCTGCTCAGTGATGCTGATAATGGGGATGCTCTGCATGCAGGGGATCATGGGAAATGTCAGTACCTTCCTTAATTTTTGTGGTGAAACTAAAACTGGTCTCTACATTATTCTTAAATCTTAGTTTTATAAAAATAATTGCAGCATTCTTGAAGAAACTAGAAATGTGTTCTTTAGGGATGGTGAGAGGAGCATTATACCAAATTTAGGTCAGCTAATGTGACTGGTGCTTGCAAATATATGTTCTGTTTTCTAGACAGGATTCAGAAGAGAAGTTGTTTGTCTCAGAATTCCAAAATACACACTTGTTGTTCAACTTGGAAGTTTTTGCAAATCTGAAATGCAGAGATAATAAATCATTAATCAGATAATACATAACTTAATATTTAAATAAACAATATTGGCAGTACTATTTACATAGTAAATCTGAATATCTCTTAAATTTTTTTCTAAGAAAACACTTAAATATTTCTTCACATATTGTTCATCCATTGTCTTTGTTTCTAAGTTGAATTCCTGATTTGCAAGCATCGGGGAAGAATGTATACGAGTTCTAAAGAAACTTACAGTTCAGAAGAGAGAGTTTTGCCAGTTGTCCACACCCCAGATTTAGTATTATTTCTCTGGGACAGTCCAGTCCATGGATGTATTTTGAAAATTTTCAAAAAATTCTATGAGAAAACAAATTGTATGAGAAATTAAGTAAAATTAATTTGTATTTGTGAAAACAATTAAAGTTGGCTCACAGTTATAGGGGGAGGTGACAGCTAAGTAAACTGCACAGCCCACCAACATCTGGTGACATCAGTGAATAAGCAGTCAACCCCGTCCTGCGACCCAGGAGTTGTTGGTCACCCCACCCAGCTGGCCCAGCATGTCCGACATCCAAAGATCACATGGCCTTGTGTGGACATATAAAGGACTCTGAATCAATGTGGAACACATCAGGAATCACCTGAGTTGAGGCAAGAGCTGAAGCAGAACCAACAACATTCTGAACAACTGGTCAAAGAAACAGTTAAGTCCCTGAACCAGTCCCTATCTCCTCCTACCACCCTCAGTGAACAGTGTGAAAGGCAAATACAGGTTAATTCTTAGTGGCTGAATTCACAACATCACTGACCAGCTCTCCACAGGACAGCAGCTGAGAAAGAAAGAGTGTTCTGCATGAGTGGGGAGCCTGCACCAGAGCATCTGGTGGAATTCCTGAGGAGAATTCAAGGAAAGGAATCTTGTGTTCTGGAACAGCCAAACTCACCCTCAAGGTCAGGTGCAAGATGAGAGAATTACAGAGGATGACCTCCACCTCATTCATGAGTCTTCTCTTAGGCAAGTGGAAGCTGATGTTGTGGATATTAATAAACTTTTCAAAAGTCTGGGAATGATAATTTGTGAAAAAAGAGGTGTGGTCACATTAGAAGCCAAAGTTGAAAGTGCAGGGGTGCATGTACAACAAGCTGAAGAGCACTCGTCAAGAGCAGATGAATATGAGAAAGAGAACCCTGCGTGTTTGTGAGATGCACAAGACTTGAAAGAAAAATACAAATCTACAACTGCACTAGCATGGGAGAATGAAAAAAGTGTAAACCTTTATATTTTATTGTATTTATTTTTTAAAGTTTCAATTTATTTAATTTTAGAGAGACAGGAAGAGAGGGAGAAAGAACAGGAAACATCAATTGGTTGCCTCTCCTGTGCTGGATCCCAGATCAATTCTACAACAACACAGGCACCTGCCCTGACTGGGAATCAAACCTGTGACATTTCCCTTTATGGAACAATGTCCAACCCACTGAGCCACACCAGTCAGGGAAACCTTTCTATTTTAAATGACTGCATTATAAGCCTTTTGTCTCTGGCTTTTATTTGTTTATTGAGAATTCAAATGTAAGTTTTGTTAATATTACACAATGAGAACGATTTTGGACAGTAATATATTAGCTTTAGAAAAATGTGACAATGATATTTTGAAAGAACTTATTTTGAAAGCAACTTAAAAAATTGTTTTTGCTTTACTCTTCACATTCAGTATTGCTTTGGACCTGTGTATACCTTCAGAGGTGAACACCCCAATAGATCTGGGGCCCATCTGACACCATGCATATTTTTTAGAATATTGTTGATTATATTCTCCATGTTGTGCTTTGCATTGTTGTGACTGTTTTCAAAACTGGCCATTTACAAAAGAACTATTTGATAAAAGTTTCAAAATGCACAAGCTATGAAGCTACTCTTAATTTTCATACATAGGTAACCATTTTTACCATTCTTCATTTAAAAAATAGATGTATGCCAATTAACTCACTTTTTAAATCACTGTTATTTTTGTTTTATTCTTTACTTTATTTTTATTGATGGAAGAGAGAGAGAGAGCAATCAGTTAGTCAGTCCACTTAGTGTGGCATTTCTTGGGAGCTTCTTGTATGTGCAGGATGGGGCATCAATGAGCACCCTCAGTGTATTCGTATGATGCTCTGAGCAGTGGACCTACCAGGAATGGGCCTATATCATTGTTGTTTTATTGTTCTAATCAAAACACAGAAAGAGAATTATATAGGTTATAGTTTGTATTTTACAGTGTTCTTATATACCAGTTTGAAAAAGGCAAAGTTGTATATGGCAAGCTATGAGACTTCAAACGGAATTAAATAAAATATTAAGTAACTAAATTGTATATTTGCAACCTAAATAAACGTGAGTTATTTTTCTAGGTTAGAGTGATTCAATTTATAATATACTTTTATATATTGGACACATTAGGAAAAGGCATTAGCATGATTAGGTGAAGGGACAAACAAAACAATTTTGTACCTCTGAAATGTGATCAAATAGTAAAAACAACATGAGCATTTATTATTGGAAAAAGCAGCTAGAGATTCCAATGAAAATAGAGCAAATTTGTAGTCTTCATGTCTAAGACTGCTCCCATGTCTCCTCCGGCCCCCATCTCAATTCATGAGTAAGAAGTGTAATTCATACAGTTTGGGGGATGCTAAAACATCACTGGTGTTGCCACAGAGGAAGTCTGATTACTTTGGAAGTGGTAGTTAAACTGCCCATCCTTTTTCAGGTCAAAGTGCTGAATTCACTAGGTTAAAGGTGAGGCAGACCATCCTTTTTCTGGTCTGTGTCAGCACAGTGTCAGCTATAGACAGGAAGGTACTCAATATGAGAGCACAGTACAAGAGGTGATATTAACTCTCCACACCTACTTGGTTGGTAGGATAAATATTGCACCATGTAGAAGAAACTAATATAATCTGGTAAAAAAATAAGCCAAAGTTGATTGGAGAACTGATTTTAAAATTATGAGTCCTCCCTTACACACACACACACACACACACACACACAAGTACATCAAGTAGCAGACAGTGGTGCCATACTGACTTGCGGTATTTTTTCAATAAATTTTGACATGAATAAAATTTTTAAAATCATTGCTTGTCAAGTAAGCTTTGCAGGCCCAAGGAGAATCAGAGTAATTGAGCCTAAAAATAAAATAATAACAAGAATTTTAAAAACTGAGTAAGTATATTTCAAAAGAGATGATTCTATAATGAAAATTTGTAACTCAAATTACAAAAATATAAATTAAGTCCCTAAGCATGTAGGAGAGTCCATGTTATTATACCATACTACTGAAAATGTGGACTTACCCAAATTTTGAAACCATGCAAATTTTGAAACCATCTAAAAAAATATCTTCCATACTCAGAGAGATAAATCAGCCACACAAAATAACTTTCCTTGGGATAAGATGTTGGATTTTTTATACAAATATTTAATATTAGTTATTATAAATATGTATGTACCTACAATGTATTTTAAAAACTATGTGCCAATAACTCTATGAAAATACGATGGCAGTGACAGAACAGTTAGGGAAATAAAAACTCTTATGAATGAATCAAACAAAATTATCAGTTGAAAAATCATTATCTACACTACAAAATTCAATACATTTACATAAATGTTGAGATGTAGAAGAAAGAATTGATGAAATAAAGATGGAGTGACAGAAATAATTAATTTCTGAAGGTACAGAGAAAAAGAAAAAAAAACTAATGGAGCCTCAGAGACCTTTATAGAATTTTACCAGTAAAACCAACTTAGGTGTAATTATTGCCTCCTAACAAAAAGAAAGACAAAAGACAGAAAAACAATTTTTGAGACACAATGAATGATCATCTTAAATTTTATGTTAAAATATATAAACCCATGTGTATAAAGTTGTTTATGTAGAAAATATCATCTGCTATAAATTATGCCGCATCAACTAGGTAATGATGCAGAAAATTATGAATTTGATCTCTACCACACATCATCACAAACACAGCATCAAAAAAATATACATTCTCAAAATATTAGAAACCTAAAACTAAATGTCTATCCATGAAGAAAAAAGATAAACCACAAAGAGTAATGCAGTAGATTATCTTCATGAACTTTAAGTAACTTATGAATATGTCCAAAATAATCACCAACATCCAAAATGAGGTATTGGACGATAGTAACTTTGATAAGTTCAGGTCATTAAAAGACTCCAATATGGGAAAAAAATGTCATTAACAGTCAAGGAAGCCATTTGCTTCATACACATTGAAAAATAGTCATATTGAAAGTGTAACTGATTCCAAGAAGGAAAATTACAGGTAACATACAGAAGAAATGGTCAAGAGGCATGAATGGGCACTTCTCACTCTCACAGTGCAGAAATTCATCATGAATGGTGCTCTGAAAGGTGTGTTCAACTGATCAGTTTGAGGAAGATACCTATCAATGTCATAATAATGCTTTTATTTAGTGATCAGAGCTGATGGCATTAAAATTTCAGGCAGTACTAAGTTTTGGATCATGAAACTGTTGGATATAATGTGTATTTATACAACAAACTAAACATAGAGATAATTTACATACACATATATTTTGACCCTGCTATTTCAATCTGATACAAAATGGCAATATATCTTACTTATACACATATACCATCAGAACAACTATATTTATAAATTATTATTATAGTGGTATAAACAACATTTCCAGCATATCAATTCATACATTATATGTATTATTATATATAAATTATTTTAAATATATGTTATTTGGAAAAAAAGAAATGCACAAGAATTTTTACTAAATAATTATTCATAATGACCACATATTAAAAATATCTCTATTCTGAGTAGAATAGATTAAAGAATGCCTGCTATATACAATACAACAGTGAAAATTAACAAACTTCAGATACATTCAATAATGTGGGTTAATTGAAAAAATATCATGAGTGAGTTAATGGAGACATGTAAAATACACAACGAATGACTCACATTAAATAAAATTCAAAATTAAGAAAGATAATTTGTGATATAAAATCTCAGAATAGTGGTTAAGTGAGGGGAGGGGAGAAGTTACGAGTGAGTGCACAGGAGCGGGCTGGCAACACCTGTTTCATGACCAATTTCAGTTTGCAACATGCACAATCACATCTGTAGTCTCCATGATACATGATACAATTAAGTAGGAAAGTTTACTTTGAAAAAGCATTTATAGAAGCATAATTGTCTATGAAAATCAAGAACTGCATATTATCAAATGCACATTAATGGTATAAACTACAAATCAAATATAGAGTCAAACAATAAAATATTAAAATCTTTACAATAAATTACAGAATTTATTGTAATTTATTACAGATATAAACAGAAATATGAATTCTATAGAAACATAAAATAAAATACTCTTTTAAATAAAAATCTGAAAACATTAAAAACCTTACCACTTCTTCTTCATTCTCTATATAGAGCAGGTTAGAGCTCTTAGCAGCACAGGCCATCAAACTCTCATTCCATGTCTTTTGTTCAGTGCTGATGTAATAGCAGTTGTTGGAATATATTAACCACTCTGGTGGACATGGACCACAATGATATGCTGAGGAAACATTATGTGTTGTTATCCAAGAACAATATGAATTTTAAAATAAAAATTAATTTCAATATTTGCTTAGATATAGACAAATTAGTGCACAGTATATGTATATACCCTCACAGACTGGCATATATAAAGCACAATACACCCACACACACTCACACACATTCACAGAGAAGAGTCAGACCCTCATCCCCTAATTTATGTGCCCATATTAAGCAAACACACAAACAAAAATACTCATTCTCTATATGCCCTGAATGTCAATGAATGAACCATCTTTTTAGAAACCAAAATTATCTTTCAACCAAATGACAACAATGAGTAGGATAAATTAAATGAATATTTCTTTATATTTTTGCATAAGAGATATACTCTTCTATACTAATAATTTATATAAATGTATGCCTGGTATTATAATTTATGTTCCCCCACCAAAAACAAGAAACCTATAAATTTTGAGTGTGTTAGAGACAAGGTAGGAGCTGTATTGATATCAGAACATAGAAAATAATTCAGTACCTTTCTGGTTGCCGGTTGTCTGGTTCCCTGTCTGGCTCCCTGTCTCACTCACTGTTAAAAATAATATATAATTTCTATTATGCACAAGAAAGAAGAATTATTGTGCTCCAGTGTTACATTACCCAGAAAAAGAGGTAGTTATTATAAAAAGGTAATGGTGATGTACATAAATCATAATACATTTGTTTCTTACTTTGAAATGTGGCATATTGTCCAGCATTAAAATAACCTGGAATAAAATCGATTTTACCAAGAAAAATGAATGAAACTATGATAATTTGGGAGAAAATAATTCAAAAGCCTTGAGAACCAAACTTCACCAACTCTTACACTATTTGCATTAATCAATATGAAGAATTTGTATTTCTCAATAAGGTGTCCTAAAGCATGCCTTGAATTATAACATAAGAATATCAATGGATATATGGGATATATAAATATATATAATTTTTTGAAATATTTATTTATTATTTATTTACTGTTGTTCAAGTAAACTTGTCTCCATTTTCCCCCCACCTAGGCCCCTCACCCCACCCATCCTCACCTCCCACCCTCAAATTTACTCCCTTTGGCTTTGTCCATGTGTCCTTTATACATGTTCCTTGACGGGCTTTCCCCTACTTTCCTCCACTATCCCTCTCCCCTCTCCCCTCTCCCCTATGGTTACTGTCAGTTTGTTCTTCAATTCAATGTTTCTGGTTATATTTTACTTGCTTGTTTGTCTTGTCCACTAGGCCCACTTATAGATGAGATCATATGGTATTTGTCTTTCACATCCTGGTTTATTTCACGTAACATAATGCTCTCCAGATCCACCCATGCTGTCACAAAAGGTAGGAGCTCCTTCTTTCTTTCTGCTGCATAGTTTTCCATTGTGTAAATGTACCATTGTTTTTTGATCTACTCATTTACTGGTGGGCACTTAGGTTGCTTCCCGCGCTTGACTATTGTAAATTGTACTGCTATGAACATTTGAGAAAATATATATGGTAATGATAACTTGAACAAAAGTTCAAACTCCAAAGTACATAAAGAACTCACATGGCACCACTCCAGGACATCACACAACCTAATTAAAAAATAGTCAAAGGACTTAAATAAACTACTTTTCCAAATAATGCAGTTATTTACTCCTTGGACAAATTCAGAACAACAATTTTGCACTTACGCTAAAGGTATACTTTAAAATGAGAGTTGTATTTTCAAATATTATGAAGTGTTTGGAGTCACTGATGAACTTAAAAGTGAAGAGTTTCATATAATCTTACAATAATTTACTTACATTGATTAACAGCTTTTGTTACCACAGTGCACATCAGGACAAGGCAAGTAACTCCTAGGATCCCAGCAATGAGCTTCTCTGGAGGTGATGGGGATGCTGCAGGGAAGGAAATGGAAACACTGAGAAAGGGGGGATGGAGACAATTGTTTGGACAGTTTACACATAGAGAATCATATCCATAAACTTGGATCCCAAACTCATATCTACCACTGTAGTCTTCCTCTCAGAATATACCATTGTATTTTCACTAAATATAATGCTCTGTGAGTTACCGGTCAAAGACTACAACTTACAACAATGTCTGCATAAAATTAGTCCTCAGCTTTCATCTGAGAATACCACATTCCAACTTCAAGCCCAGATCCTTAAGATGAAAAAAATATGTGAGCTTATCCCCTTCTCTTTCCCACACCTCTGCACCAGCTGCACATCCTAGAATAATTATACTGTGTCTGTTGAATGTCTTACCTTTGCAGTGGTTACTCTTGTCACTCCCTCCAAGATCCTGAGAAGCATTTTGAAGATTTAATTCTGCATAGGTCAGTTCCTGCTCAGTTCCTGGAATGGAGCCTTTAGTGCCCTTAGGTTTCATGTGCTGTCTCTTTGCATCCTTAGCCAGATTCAGTTCTGCGTAGGTTACTCTTTGGTCACTCATCTCTGCAGCTGAGTGGTGGCCGAGACTGTGCTCTACCACATGTGTGCTTGTGAATAAATGACACAGGCACTGAAGAGGTCCCTCACAGTGACACTGGGCGGGTAGGGGTGAGTATCGGGCTCATTTTCCAGTTAAGATGATGTGCTTATAGGTTTCTTAGATCTTTAAACAACTGCTTCATGGTATATACAGTATTTAAGATACTCTACATATGACAACGTATTTTTAGTTTGAACAATAAAATGTTGTATGTTAGTGATAAATAAAATAATTTCATAAATAATAACATCCTTATTTATTTAAAGTCAGATTCCACAGAAATATTTTAACACCATTAGAATACTCGTATTAAAAATAAAATATTATATTAGAAAAAAAGAAACACCATATTTAAGATAAATTGGAAGTTGAATAATGATTAAAGACTAAGTGCCCTCAAAATGAGACATGAATCATGTTGACATCTCTAATAATTTTCTGAACTAAATTTTTATTTAGTGACATACATTTATTCATTAAAGAGGATGAGCTGTTATCAAATGATCTTCTATTATGAATAAAAATATTTCATATGTTAAAAAATACTTGTCATGCTAAACTTATTCAAGACCTTAACATATTGCCAACAAAGTGAAATTATTTAAACACTTATGTTACACAAGAAACTGGCATTGAATTACGGGCAAAGATATAGAAGCATAAAATGTGAAATAAATGTGTAAGTCATTTATATTAGAACACGGTAGTTTCAAACTTAGAGACAGTACACATGCATGTTAAACTCAGGGCACCTTCAGTTGTGTGAGCCATAGTAATGAATCAGATGGCATAATTTAATAATTCAGTCAATGGGCTCTGTGGCCAGTAAGTTCTAGAATTAATTCTGGCTTTGAAATTCACAATGTATGACCTTTACAAAAGTACTTGGTGTCTAGCAACATAATTTACTAATGTAAAGTGGGAATAAAAACATGTAGACATAATACATGTAAAACATTTAATATTTCACCTTTTTAAGCTCTTCATAACATTTGAGTTATCCTAATATGACGTGAACACATTTTTAATGTTGTTTCTGATTCATACCAGTTGAATGCTCTGGCTTAATTCATTAGACAGTGTCTGTCAGTGTGGTACACTCTCTAGCAATGGTGGCTCAATTTTTAAGTAGTATTTTGATTCGTTATACTTAAGCTTCAATTACAATTTTATGAAAGCACTTTATTCTGATTTTTATTGAAAGCCAACTGCACTTATTTAATCTAGTTAAGTGCATAAAATATTATGTTTGACCTCCATGATTAATAAAATTTATTTTAAAACTCTCTTTTCGGAGGCTGGGCTAAATATAACTATTGATATTAATTATAAAATAAAATAGCTGTTCCTTTTCATAATTCTTATAGGATTTTTATTTTAAATAGTTTTGACTAACACACTCAATTATTCCTGTATATATACACTTGAGTAATTGTCCACAGGCAACAATTTGAATAGTTCAAGACATCCTCCAACATATTTCATATTTTATTTTTGACTTTTTACTAGAAATAATTTAAATTAAATACCAATATTCTCTTTGATTTGATTGTATATTAATCGTACCTCACTTATATCACATCTTATGTTGCATTCTCCCCCTATATGAGATGGGCTAAGAGAGAGAAAGACAGGAAAGTAGATAAACACATACCTTCTGAAGGCCAGGAAGTCCTGCATCCTTTAGCGGGAGACCAGCTCACTCTAGTAAACAAACAATGTCTGTGGTCTTCACAGACTGACCCGTGAAAGCTCAGAGTGAGACATGAGTGCAAGAAGCAGATTTCTCATTAATGTGTCACTAAACGTTTGAACAGGAAATTCTTACACTTGGGCTGTTTTGAAGGTTGTGCATCTCATCACACACCTGCAGAATCTAGGAGACTTGGGGCTGGTAGTATATCATTCAGTTGGACCACTGGCAAATGTATCTGGAAATTGTTTTCTTAATATGATAAGTATCAGGGGACAAAGACCGGACCACTCATGCTATGAAGTTACTTCCATCTTCATCACAGACTATGAAATCTTAGGTCTTGTTAAGAATATCATATGTGTAAATTCTACTCCAAGACAAGGTTATTTAATTTTGGCTTTACCTATTTCTCTTCCTTATATTCTCATTATGGCATTTCTATTACAATGGAAATAATTTTAAAATCATAATTCTATAAACAATAGATATTTGATGACACTTGTCAACAATATTCTCAAAAATTACTACCTTTTCACCTTTATGGTAACTGTCACAATCACTAATCCTATACTTTTTTTCTCAATTGTTGGCCTTAGTTCTTAAAATTCCTTCATTCATTTTATTGTTATTAACTGTTACTTAGATTCCCCTTGGTAAAGATAATATCTCTGTGAAAGATAAAATGTTAAACAATATTGAACTGTCACTATGGCAGAGATTAAATTGTTACACAACTACTAATTACATTTTTGTTGATTCATTTTCAAATCACTAGTAACTGCAATTTAATAGGAATATTTTTTAAATGACAGAAGCACAAATCAAACTACATAGAAGGAAATCAAAGATAATTTAATGTTTTTCCTTATTAAAGAAATGGGAAGGACAGAAAAAGTAGACTTCTGAAAGACAATTTAAATGACTGATGAATATTAAAAGAAACAAAAATTTACTGCATAATGTTAGATTTGTATATATTGCAAAATGATTATCACAATAGGTTCAGCTAACATCCACCTTCTCATAGAGTAAGAACTAAAAGAAATAAAGAATACACAGGGTATTCACAGTGTTTGTGTTACCCAACTACTTATCACATGGTAGCTGTCTGTGTCATTAGACCAGCCATTTTCGACCTTTCACCTGTCATGGCACAATTTACTAACTACTAAAACTCTGTGGCACACCAAAAAAGTATTTTGGGCTGATGTGAAAAAAGTAGGTATAATTTTGATTGACTTATGAAAAAGAATAATACTATTACCTACTCTTTTTGCTTCAATGTGACTTTTTAAAATATCAGGTGTCCATACTTATATATGATGAGGTCTGTGTGAAAAAGGTCCAGCCATTGTTAATATAACGAGAACCGTTTGTGTGACATTGATGTAACGTGGCAGCCAAGGATAGTGGACTGGAATGCACATACGTGGACAATGATGACTTCACTGTATTAGTCAGTGGGGGCAGTAGACACCATTGATTGAGCATGTGTACTGTTTGGCCATCACATTCAAAATGACTGAGGAAGTATAGAGCAATGAACCTGCACCAAATTTTGTGATAAGCTTAAATATTCCTCCACAGAAACTTCCCGGATGATTCAGAAGGCTTTCAAAGATGATGCAATGAGGGCAGTGCAAACAATAAAGTGTGACAGAAATGCTTCCAAGGTGGTTTAGAATCTGGTAAAAGTAACCCATGTCCTGGAAGGTCTACAACAAACAAAACACCTGAAAATGTTGAGTGTGTAAGGTCTGCAATCAATGAAGATGGACAATTGACAGTGCAAGAACTAGCAGCTGATCTGGGGATTCCCAAAAGTACTGTGTCTTAGATTTTTAAAAAAATTTTAATTGCTGTTCAAGTATAGTTTTCTTTCCTTTACTCCCACTTCAGCCCACCCCCCACCTCCCTCCCATTTCCACCCCCTCTAAGTTTTTGTCCGTGTGTCCTTTATATTTGTTCCTGTAAATGCTTCCTCTTTTCCCCTGAAATTTCCTCCCCTCTACCCTCTGATCACTGTCAGCCTGTTCTCTGTTTCAGTGTGTTTGGTTATATTTTGCTTGTTTATTTGTTTTGTTGTTTAGGTTCCTGTTAAAGGTGAGATCATATGGTATTTCTCTTTCTCCCTACCTGATTGGCAATCAGTCTGGAGTGCACTCTTCCCGGGGCTAGCCTGGCGCCTCTCCCTGAGCTTTCGGTGTGGGATCCAGGCCCTCCTCAGAGCACACTCTCCCTGGGATGTGCAGCCAGGCAACCTCCAGTTTCACAGATTCGATGTGCACTCTTCCCAGGGCTATAGGAATGCATGCATGGCTTCCACACCACCTCAGGAGTGCTGTCTAACTGAGTGGGGAGGAGGCCAGAGTGACTGCTGCAGGAGAATTCCCCAAACGGTGTCTCTTTTTTCACTTTTTCTTTTTGAGAAATTCTTCCTACTCAAGCTGGCCACTCCATACAGCACTCTGATCTCTTGCACAGTCCAATTCTCCAGCCAGACAGGGGACTATTTGGGCCAGGCCCCCTTACAGCTTTCAATTCTCCCTAGCCAGCATCCACAGACTTCATGGGTGCTCACAGCCCCTGTGTGTTTTCCACTTAGTCCTTATTCCCCTCTCTGCAACTTCAAGTAGGTCTCTTTCCCTTGCTACTCAGACCTCCTTTGGCTGGGGAAGGAGCGGCCCAACAAGCTCTCTCCCAGGAACCCTGTGGCAGACCCAGGGGGCCCAGGGCCGGGCTGAAGCCACCCTGGTACCTATTCTGGTCCCTGAGACCTTATTGTCTTGAAGCACTCTCCTTACCATCTGGTTTTTCAATGTCCACTGCAATTTTTGGTTGTCTATTTTCACACATGCTGGGGTACCGTTGGCTGTTTGCTCTGTTCCTCTGTAGATCGGCCAGGTTTTTCTTCCGTGTTTAGGGGGAAGTGGAATCTGCTCCCTCCTACCTCACTGCCATCTTCCTCCTCTGTGTCTTAGATTTTGATGCAGGATCTTAGCATGGGAAAATTCCTTCAGTGGCCTCTGCTACCTGAGCAGAATGAATATCGTGCTGAAGTTGCTAATGATGGATTCAAACTGCTACCAATGAACCAGATTTTCTCATATGGTCAAAACTGAAGATAAAATATGGGTCTGTGGCTGTGATCCAGAAATGATGGCACAGTGGTCACTATGGAAGTCACATGGTTCTCCACGCCTGAAGAAGGCGTACCAAAGTTGCAGTAAGATCAAGACCATATTAACTGTGTTTTTTGATTGGGAAGGTATTGTCCATCATAAGTATGCCTCTCAAAGCCAAACAATTCTTAAGGAGTACTGCCTCAATGTTCTTTGTCATTTGAGGTCTGCAATAAGACAAAAATAGCAGCAGCTATGTGATTTCAGCTTCATCACTAATGTGCCTGTTCATGTATCATATCTCATGCAGTGTTTTTTTGTGAAAAAAAAAATCACGCAGGTGACTCAGCACCCGAACAGCCCGGATGTGGCATCCTGAAACTTCTGAATATTCCAAAAACTAAAATTACCTTTGAAAAGGAAGAGACTTCAAACCATCGGTTAAAGAAAGCAAAACAGCTCGTTTAATGAAAAATCAAAGGAAGGATTTTGCAGAGTATTTTGAACAGTGGAAGAGATGCTGGAAGAACTGTGTGAGGTCCCAATGTGCCTGCTTTGAGGGAGACTCAAACATCACTGTCCTTTGTACAAGATTTCTTGTATCTTGTATCTTCTTCAATAAGTGTCTCTATTTTTCATATCACATGGCTGGATGCTTTCTGGATTTCTGTACCAAAAATTAACCAATCAGACACAAACTTATTACACAACATGATCAATAAGAATTAACTCTGTCAATAATGTGTATATTTGTGGTTGAAGGAAGTGCATTCACATAGGATGGATATTGTTGTGTTAATTGTTGTCATTTTTTAATTTGACAATCTAAGGGAAAAGAGGTCAGTTTGTCAATTTTGTTTGTTTTTCAAAGAAGAAACTCTCAGTTGGTTTAATCTTCTCTATTGTCTTTCAGTTCTCAGTTCATTTATTTTTGTTCCAATATTTATTTTCTCCCTTCTGCTGACTTTGTGCTCGGTTTGTTCTTTTTAGTTTTCTAAGACATAGAGGTAGGTTGCACTACAGGAATTGATTGAGTTCATTTTATAAACTTTCCTACAAAAGCATTCTTGAAGCTCTGTTGGCATTATTACTGAAAAGTACCATTAAAAAATATGACGGTATTGGAGATTATTACCTGAAGTGAAATTAGAAAAAGACAAATACCATATGCTCTTACTTTTAAATGTCATCTAAAGAACAAAATAAACTTATGGACAAAATAAAATATAGGTTTTGATACATGGAATAGACTGACATCTGTCAGAAAGGAGGAATGGTGGAGGGGACTGGATGAAAAAAGGTGAAGAGATAAGCCAATGAACCTAACACATAACCTTGAACACAGGGAACAGAGTGGTGATGGTCAGAGGCAATGAGACTGGGGGTGGGTGACGTGGGAAAGGGGGTCAGTTAAAGGGAACATATGTAATAGAGTAAACAATAGAAATATTGTTAAGAAAAGAAGAGAGAGGAGACAGGGGAGGGACATGGGGAGGGCCGGCATGGTAGGAAGGCATGGGGGGAAAGGTAGAAAACTGTACTTGAACAAAAAAAAGTTAAAAAAAAAAGAAAAAAATTGGAATTGTGGAAAAAAAGAAAAGAAGAAAATAATAAAGAGGATGAACAATTTTTTAAAATTGTAACAGTACTTTTATACAAAGTCTTCCAGAAAACAGAAAAAAGAACAATGCCTTCCAACATATCTTTGATAACAAAAATTGCTGAATATTAACTGACCATAAAGACGTGGGTTTATTTCTGGTTTTTCTATTTTGTCCCATTGATCTATGTATCTCTTATTATGCCAGTACCACAATGTTTTGATTACAGTAGCCTTGTAATACAGTTTGGTATCAGGTATTGTGATCCCTCTTACTTAGTTCTTCTTTCTCAAATATGCTGTAGCCATTTGGAGCCATTTATCATTCCATAAATATTTTTGAAATGTTTGTTCTATATCTTTGGAATATTCCATTTTATTTTAATAGGTATTGTGTTGAACAAAGGGGGTAAAAACATAAAAGTAGTAAAAATGGCCTCTTAAATAAATGGTCTTGGGAAATCTGGACAGCTATGTGCAAAAAAAGAAACTTGACCAACAACTTACACCATACACAAAAAAAGCTGAAGATGGATAAAATACTGAAATATAAGTTGCAACACCATAAAAGTCCTAGAGGAGATCATAGGCAGGAAAATCTCAGATATTCTATGCAGCAATATTTTCACCAATATGTTCCCCTGAGCAAGGGGCATAGAGGAATGAATAAACAAACAGCACTTCATCAAAATAAAAAGCTTCTGCATGGCTAAAGAAAACATCAGCAAAATGAAAAGGGAACCAACCATATGGAAGATATATTTTCCAATGACACCTTGGACAAAGGTCTGATCTCCATAATATATAAGAAGCTCACACAGCTACACTTCAGGAAGAGAAACAACCCAATTTAATAATGGGCAAAGGACCTGAGCAGACACTTATCCAAGGAAGACATACAGAGGGACCAGGCACACATGAAAGGATGCCCAGCATCACTAACCCTTGGAGAAATGCAAATTAAAACCACAGTGAGATAGCACTTCATACCATTCAGAATGGCCATCATAAACAAATCAACAAACAAGTGCTGGCAAGGCTGTGGAGAAAAGGGAACCCTAGTACATTGCCGGTGGGAATGCAGACTGGTGCAGCCACTGTGGAAAACAGTATGGAATTTGCTAAAAAAAACTAAAAATGAAACTGCCTTCTGACCTGACAATTCCCCTGCTGGGATTATACACTAAGAATCCCAAACACCAACTGAAAAAACCTATACACCCCAATGAGCACAATTCACAATAGCCAAGTGCTGGAAGCAACCTAAGTGCCCACCAGTAAATGAGTGGATACAAGAAACTAAAGAGACATTGAAGTAAAGCACAAACTAACAGCAACCAGACAGGTGGGCATAGGGGGATAACAGGGGAACTAAGGGGAAGGGTCTCATCAAGGAACATGTATAAAGCACCAATGGATAAAGCCAAAGGTGGGTAAGATTGACAGTGGGAGGTGGGTGGGATGGCGAAAGTGGTAGCGGGAAAAGGGACACAACTGTCCTTGAATGACAAAAAAAAAATACATAAAAACTGTCAAGTACATAACATAAATAAAAATTCAGAACTCTTTATCAACAATGATAACGATGATTAAAAAGCAGCTTAAAAGAAGTGCAATATATGCACTGAAATTTAAAGGACAAAACACAATGATTATTGTGGCTTTAGTTTAAAAATGCAAGATTGGTTTAATATTTGAATGAAATAAAGGTAGTTTACTTCCGAAACTTTATACAAAGAAAATATTTATCATTCCAAATGGTACAATAATAAAAATGGAACATCAATTGAATGTAGAATCTATTAGAAAATAGCAATATTATGAAATTGCTTTAATATGTGAAAAGTATAATGAAAAAATTTAAAACATTTGTTTATTCTTTCCTTTATGTCCCTTGCTCTAGATGACATATCAGTAAAAATGTTGCTGTGTGAAATATCTGAGCTTTTCCTGCCTATGTTCTCCTCTAGGATTTTAATGGTGTCACAGTTTATATTTAAATCTTTTATCCACTTTGGACTTATTTCTGTGTATGGTGTAAATTGGTGCTCGAGTTTCTCTCCTTCTTCCTTTTTTTTTTGCACATAGCTGTCCAGTTCTCCCAACTCCACTTGTTGAAGAGGCTATTTTTACTCCTTTTTATGTTGCTGCCTTTTTTGTCGAATATTAATTGACTATAGAGACTTGGGTTTATTTCTGGGCTCTCTGTTCTGTTCCACTGGTCCATGTCCTGTTTTCATGCCAGTACCAGGCTGTTTTGATTACAGTGATCCTGTAATACAGTTTGGTATCAGGTAATGTGATCCTTCCTACTTTGCTCTTCTTTCTCAAAATTGCAGGAGCTATTTGGGGTCATTTATGGTTCCATATAAATTTTTGGTGTTTGTTCTATGTCTGTGAAATACGCCATTGGTACATTAATAGGTATTACATTGAATCTGTACATTTCTTTGGGTACCACTGCTAGGATTATATCTTAAGAACCCTGAAACACCAATCTAAAAGAACCTATGCACCCCAATGTTCATAGCAGAACAACTTACAATAGCCAAGTGTTGGAAGCAACCCACTTGCCCATCAGTAAATGAATGGATCAAAAACCAATGGTACATTTACACAATGGAATACTATGCAGCAGAAAAAAGAAGGAGCTCCTACCCTTTGCAACAGCATGGATGGAACTGGAAAGCATTACGCTGAGTGAAATAAGCCAGGCAATGAAAGACAAATACTATATGATCTCACCTTTAACAGGAACCTATACAACAAAACAAATAAGCAAGCAAAATATAACCAAAGACACTGAAATAGAGAACAGGCTGACAGTGACCAGAGGGGAGGGAATTTCAGAGGAAAGGGGGAAGGGTTTGCAGGAACAAGTATGGAGGACACATGGACAGAAACTCGGGGGTAGAAATAGGACGGAGGTGGGTCGCACTCGTGGGGTGGGCTGGGATTGGAGTGAAAGACAGAGAACTGCACATGAACAACAATCAAAATAAATGTTTTTAAAAAGTGAAAAGAAAAAAAGAGATATCAAAAAAATTTTAAAACAAAACTCAACTTTACAATGAAATATTTAAATATTTTTTCCTAAAATAGAGATGGATACATATAGAACTTTTACTGTCCATACTATCCAACATTGGAAATAAAACCCCACTCTGTGGTAATAAGTCAAGAAAATGAAAAAACTGTACCAGGGAAAAAGAAATTAAATAAATGTTTACATAAACTATTCAAAGACATATATGTTTGAAATGATACAACTAATACAACAAAATTAACATGTAAACCTCAATTGTACATCTTTTTAAAAAGAGGAAAATACACTAAAGAAAACTTTTCAAGTATGCCATTTACAAAATCATGACTATCAAATACCAATATTGATATTTCTTTAAGACTTCAATACAGAAAAATTAAAAATATATCAGTAAGAAATGAAAGAAAACCAAGTACATAAAAGAATAAAGCATGATTTGACTGAAAGTTTCAATATTTTAAATTGCCTAATCTTTATAAGTTACATGCAGTAATTTTTTTAAAGTCTACATGCAATCCCAAGCATAACCCCAAGTGTTCTTAACACCTTACTGAGGTGTAGTTACCAAGTATAGAATTCATGCATCTTGAGTGTGCATATCAGTTATTTTAAGTGTATTCACAGAGCCTCGCAGCTATCACCGCTACCAGAATTCAGAAAGTTTGCAGCCCCAACAGAAGCAGTTTCCGAACCAATCATTAGTCATTTCCTATTCCCACATATGCTTAGACTTCTGTGGGCTTGCCTGCTCTTGACAGTTCATTTAAATGGACTCACACATATGATCTTTTAGAAAAGTTGAATGTCACAAACATAATGTTGAACAAAAAATGGAAGACACTGAGAGAATGTATATCTGTACTTTTGGATGTGTATATTATTTTCCAGTAATGCTTATGAATTTTTTCATTATTAGAACAAAATTCATTTGAAGACTTATGCAATCATAACATTATTTCCATTTCATGAAAAATAGTTACTGGCAGAATCCAGGTTTTAACCATAAAACCTATGCTTGCAAATATATATTTTTGAAGATTCGCAACTGCTTGATGTGAGGCCTTTTCCTTGCAGCATCACACAGTTTCCGTTACCAGATAATGATTCTATGATCCTGCAATGGAGAAAACGCACAATTTTGTCCTTACGTTCTATGAGGGCAATCCCTGAAACAAGTAGCATATTCTATGAAAGCATAATAGAATATTTTGCAAATAGGCAGTGATATTTTCCATATAATATAGTCAGAGTTGTGTTGGGAACTGCCCGGCCTGGTTTCAGAAACTATAACCCCTAGTGGCTAAGACTGAGCAAAAAGACCTTGGGACCAGAAGCCACTGGGGAGACAAAGCTTATCCCCCAGGCAGGTGCACCACCTCCGCCCCATTTCTATTCACCCTGCTTGGCCCCAGGCCATGACTGGTCAGCAAATGACAGGTAAATTTCCTCAAGGGAGGGATGACCTATGACGGGCATGATCCTAGAGGGACCCTCAGGGAAGGACTAAGAGGTATATAGAGAAAGGGGGTGATGGACCCTCACCCCTCTGATCTGACAGACTGAGTCCTCATTCTCTCTGTGAGTAGTATTCTAATCTCTTGGCTGCCTTACTTCCCTTGGCTGACTTAAGCCTGAGACATTGCCTTAAGCCTAAAACAGTGCGGGAGATGGGTGCAACCTGGTGCTGGAAAGGGCAGGTTCCCTGGGGCAATCAGGCCTAAGAAAGAATGCATAAAGTCCTATAAAACCTACTTTGCTAATAACCTCAATTTAAATGATAAGGGCCCAAGCCTAGAATGAGTTTGTTTTCTCAAAGTTTTATAGCCCTTTAGCTAACTGACCCTGATTCATAATAAGCCCTCTGAGTTTTTTGTATGTTATCTATTGTTTGATCCACTAGATTGTTATCTAGAGCCTGACAATGATTGATGAGCTTTACCTGTATTCCTTTGCCAATTGAACCCAATAAAAGCCCATTGAGGAACAAGCTCCTGGCCTTTCTCCTTTGAGCAATCAGCCACCTTTCCTCCCCAAGCAGATAATGTCTTGGTAGACTTATGATCATCCTTGGTGGCCTGCAGCTGGGGGAGGGGGGCGGACTGTGGACAGAGCCCCTTCCCCTAAACTTGGTTATTAAGAAAACTAAGTAGTCATTCTTAATATTTATAACAACATTTCATTAACTCTGAATATCATGCTCACAGTTCAACTTAAACAAATCTATTAATAAAACTCTTCTGAATTGTTCTCTTTTATGTTTTCCCTTTATATAGCAGAAAAGAAAAAAAACTCACTTCAGTGTGGGAGTTGAACCATTTATCAACATCCATGGGTGATCACTGCTTCTACGAAAAACTCCACTCCATGATGCAGGTGATATGAACCTCAGGAATTTCTATCCCAAAATAAAAAAAAATTAATTAATCATTCTGGAAGTTTGCATTATATTTTTAAGATGCATGTAGAGTATTGTGTCATAGGATCCTTCATTTAGAGAACAAAATGAGAGTGTGGAATCCTAATGTAACACAAATATATTGACTTTTATTAAAGATGTATTAAAATCTATTTTCATACTGTCAAAAGTTTCAGCAACATGTATACCTTTGATTTAAAGTCAACTCCTATCCCTGGCTGGTGTAGCTCAGTGGATTGAGCTTGGACCTACGAAACCAAAAGATTGCTGTTCGATTCCCAGTCAGGGCACATGCCTGGGTTGCAGGCCAATTCCCAGCAGCGGATGCACGAGAGGCAACCATACCTTGATATTCCTCTCCCTCTCTCCTTCCCTTCCCCTCTAAAGAGAAATAAATAAAATCTTTAAAAAAATAAAATTAGCTCCTTTTATGCATTATACTTTCATTTTTTCTTTTAGGTTTATAAAGAACATTCTGCTACATATATTTTAGTGGTTACACATGTTGACAAATCTAATACCACAAGGTTTAAATAAGTTTCTGAACATTTATATGATGTATTTCATTCCATAACTAAACCTACATAATTTTCTACTCTTTTTCAGAGATCTGGTTTTTAAAACATTAAGGGATTGTAATTAAGAAAATAAAAAAGAGACAGTGGCATAGGTAAATACAGCTTGCCTCCTCACAAAATCACATAAAAATTACAGGTAAATTACAGAAACCCATCACTCAGAACCATGGGATCCACTTGAATGGAAGTCTGACAATTACAGAATTAGAAAGCACATCCATCCAGACTGCTAGGAAGGGTGGAAATGCCGAATAGACCGGTGAAATATCCATGTGTTGTGGATAAAATTTCAGGAGGGATCTCTCAGGAACAAGGAGTCCCAGACCCACACCAGGCCCCCTCCAGCTTAGGGGTCCAGTGCCGGGAAGATAAGTCCCCATAACTTCTGACTGCAAAACCAGCAGGAATTGAGTCAGTGGGGGAACTTCTGGAGTCCCAAGCACTTCCTCTTGGAGAACCCACACATGACCTTACACTGACTCACTCCCTCTGAGCTCCAGCACTGTGGCAGCAGCTCAAAAGGCGTCAGAGGCATACGAGGAAGGACTGGAATGGCTGGCATCAAGGCGAGAGCTGGGGGGACAGCTTTCTCCCAGACAGATAGGTGGGAAGAGCCATAGAGCTGGGAGGTGGGTACCACATCTGAGACTCAATTGACCTAGCTAATGTTTGCCCAGCCCTACACATCATCTGAGGTTCCATCCCACCCAACTTACAGCTATTAATAGTGGATTTTCCATATGAATGGCTTGAATTGGCTCATGCTTCACAACTTCCCAAATCCTTCCAAACAAGCAACAGCTGGTGTCAATGAAACCCAGCTCCCTCCTTTTCCTGTGCCATACCACATTTCTTGCAAAGTAGTCTCAGGCATTGCAGTAGCACCAGCCAGCCTAGATTCACAGCTTGGCTTCATCTGAGAATCTCCAGTCCCAGTAGAGTTAGTGGCCATTTCAGATTGTTCTATGGCTCAGGCAGGATGGCCTCGGGCCAAGCAGAGGTGGGGGCAGACCTTACCCCACACCACACAGGAAAACCCAAGACACATGCACCTAGTGGACAGATAGATGCAATGTTGGAACACCACCACCCTTTTTCTGCACAGCTGATCCTCCACAGAGGGCAGAGGTTGGTGTTTTGGGGTAACAACCAATCCTTCTACCTGACTGGCCTGGGTAAATCCCTCCCAGTGACTTGCCAAAAGCACCTAAGACTCAACTGCAAGGGCAGTGTGTACTCAGTCCACATGAAGGGCACACTCTGAGTACCTAGTTTGCTTTATAGGGGAGGCTGTGCCACTGGACCCTACAGGACACCTACTACATTAGGCCACACTACCAAGACATGGAGTCAAAGCAGCTCTACCTAATACATAGAAATAAACACAAGGAAGCTGCCAAAATGAAGAAAGAAAGAAAAATGGCCCAGATGAAAGAACATATAAAAACTGCAGAAAAAGAACTAAACACAATAAAAATAAGCAATCTCTCAGACGCAGAGTTCAAAACACTGGTTATAAGGATACTCAAGAAACATAGTGAGGACCTCAACAGAATAAAATAGATCCAGTCAGAAATGAAGTATACATGATTGAAATAAATAACAACTTACTGGAGAACAATAGAGTGGATGAAACCAATACTAAAATCAATGATTTGCAACATAAGCAAGCAAAAAAAGAACCACACACACCAAGAAGAAAAAAGAATCCAAAAAATGAGAATAGTATAAGCTGCTTTTGGGACAACATCAAGAGATCCAACATTTACATCACAGGGGTGCCAGAAAGAGAAGAGAAAGAACAAACAATGGCAGATCTATTTGAGAAAATAATGAAAGAAAATTTTCCTAATTTGGTGAAGAAAATAGACATGCAAATCAGAAAGTGCAGAGAGTCCCAAACAAGATGGACAAAAAGAGACCTACTCTAAAATGCATCATAATTAAAATGCCAAAGGTGAAAGATAAAGAGAGAATCTCAAAAGCAGCAAGAGAAAAGCAGTTAGTTACCTGCAGGGGAGTTTTCATTAGACTGTCAGCTTATTTCTCAAAGAAATTTTGCAGGCAAGAAGGTGTTGGCAAGAAATATTCAAAAACCTGAAATTCAGGGACCTGTAGCAAAGATTCCTTTACCCAGCAAAGCTATCATTTAGAATTGAAGGGCCATTGAAGCCCTTCCCATAAAAGAAAAAAATAGATGTGTTCATCATAACCAAACCCTTATTATCTGAAGTATTAAAGAGAATTAATTAAGAAGATCAAAAAATAGAAAAAAGGAAAAGTAGATCAAAACTGTGAACAATAAAATGGTAATAAATATACATCTATCAACAATTGAATCTGAAAAACAAATTAAGCAAACAAGAAGAGCACAGAAGATCAGAGTCATACTCATAGTTAGAGAGAGCATTTTGATGGTTGCTAGATTGGAGGGTGGTTTAGGGGAATGGTAGAAGAAGTGAGAGAATTAAGAACTACAAATTGGTAGTTACAGAACAGACATGCGATGTAAAGTACAGTATAGGAAATGGAGTGGTCAAATAATTTATAGGTATAATCCATGGATATGAACAATGGTGGGGGGGGTGACCTGAGAGAGAGAGAGAGGGGACAGGGTGAAGGGAAGCAAAGGGGGGAATATTGGGACAGCTGTGGTAGCATAATCGATAAAATATATAATTAAGCAAATAAAGGACACTAAATGTAAAATATTGTTTTGGGAGGCCCTGCACCATTATTTAAGTAGATAAGCTTGGAGTGATATTTTGTGTGTGTTTGTGGAATTTAATGGTCCCAGATGTCAGACACTCATTTTTCTGAAGACTACAGTTATTAGTTATAAATTCTGTAACTAATAAAACACACAACTCAAAGAGAACCCTGAAAGATGGAAAGAAGAAGGAAAATTATTTGGTACAACAGAATTAGGGGAAAACAGTGTGAGGGGGTATCTTATACTCCCACCCAAATGAAAGTGACTGAGGCCTGATGCATCCAGTACCCACAGTTTTCTATGAAATGGAAATGTGCATTACTGGAATACAGTATAACAAAGTGTTACAAAGTCAAACAATGGGATATTACACAGTCTTTAAGTAGCTGCAAATACATACAAAAATATGAGTGAATGCTACAAATACAATATTGACTGCAGTAAGTAAAGTGCATGAAATGTTGGATTTCTCACCATTTCTTCTTCATTCTCTATATAGGAGGTTGGATATAGCAGGTTGGAGCTCTTAGAAGCACAGGCCATGAGACTCTCATTCCATGTCTTTTGTTCAGTGCCGATGTAATAGCAGTTGTTGGAATATGTAAACCACTCTGGTGGACAGTGACCACAAGAATATGCTGAGGAAAGATGATGACTTATTACTCAACAACAACTTGAAGTTTAAAAATGAAAATTAACTTACATAATTGCACAAGAATAAACACACATGTACATAATATATCTATGTATCCTCACAGGCTGGTACATATAATGAAAAACATACCCATACACACACAGAAGAGTCAGCCCCTCACCCCCTAATTTATGTACCCTTATAAAGCAAACACACAGAAACAAAAATAACCACTCTATACAAGTTCAAAAATCAATGAATGAAACCACTTCTTAAGAATAGTAAAATTACTTATTTTGTCATATTATAACAGTGGGAAGTTTGGGCCATTTAGCAACAATGGCTTTGGAGATTTTAAATGAATATTTCTTTATATAGTTGCATAAGAAAAAGCATTCTTCCATAAATATTATTCATGGAACAATTATAGCCCATCGTATAAGTCGTGTTCCCCCCAAGAATTTGTTATCATTTTTACCCACCCTAAGACAGAGGCAAAAATATAAACTGTGCAAACCCAAGAACTTTAAAAATTATGTACCTTTCTGGATCTTTGTTATTGGGGAGGAATAGTTCATCTTCAGTGTTGCAATAGCTACAAAAATTAAAGTCATTCTTAAAGTTAATCTAAACAAATTATAACACTTTGAAATATTATGCTTTGTTTAGAATAATCATCAATAAAATTTATTTTTCCAAGAAAAGTTAATAAAGTAATAACCATTCTGGAGAAAATATAATAAAATTCTATAGAACAAAAATTCACTTTTTCTTAACATTATTTTGTTTAACCGATCTCAAAATGAATTTATATTTCTAAGGTCCTCCAGCCTTTGAAATCATGTGCTTAGTTATGAAATAAGAATATATGAATATGTGTAAAATACTCTCTATAATCATTATTAGTCATGCATTTAGCAAATTAAAAAGGACCATTCCACATTTAGTCTAAATTCATAATTTAAATGAGAATTCTATAATATTATAAAGTGTTTAGAAGTAGTGATGAATATTGAAGTGAAAACAGCATATGATCTTACAAAACTTACTTACTTTTTAAAATAATGCAGGTATTTATATGTTGGACAAATTCAAAACAAGTATTGTGAACTTTAAAAGGAGAGTTCTGCAATAGAATGAAGTGTTTGGAAGCACTGATGAACACAAACTGACAATTTTCATATAATCTTGCAATAATGTACTTACATTGATTAACAGCTATTGGTATCACAGTGCACATCAGGACAAGGCAGATGACCCCTAGGATCCCAGCAATGAGCTTCTCTGGAGGTGATGGGGATGCTGCAGGGAGGCAAATGGAAACACTGAGAGAAGAGAGATGGAGACAATTGTTTAGAAAATTTATAAATAGAAAATCCCCAAACACAGGTAGTCATATAAATAAACTTGGACCCCAAAACTATTATCTACCACTGTAATCTTCCTCTCAGAATATGTCATTGCATTTTTGCTAAATATAACACTCTACGCGTTACTGATCAAAGACTACAACTTACAACAATGTCTGCATAAAATTAGTCCTCAGCTTTCATCTGAGAATACCAGAGAATACTGAGAATTCCAACTTCAAGTCCTGATCCTTGATATGAAAAATATCTGAGCTTATCCCCTTCTCTTTTCCACACTTCTGCACCCAGCTGCACATCCCAGAACAGTTACACTGTGTCTATTGAATGTCTTACCTTTGCAGTGGCCACTCTTGTCACTCCCTCCAAGATCCTGAGAAGCATTTTGAAAATTTAATTCTTGATAGATTAGTTCCCGCTCAGCTCCTGGAATGGAGCCTCTAGTGCCCTTAGGTTTCATGTGCTGTCTCTTTGCATCCTTAGCCAGATTCAGTTCTGTGTAGGTTACTCTTTGGTCACTCATCTCTGCAGCTGAGTGGTGGCCGAGACTGTGCTCTACCACATGTGTGCTTGTGAATAAATGACACAGGCACTGAAGAGGTCCCTCACAGTGACACTGGGCGGGTAGGAGTGAGTATCGGGCTCATTTCCCAGTTGAGGAATCTGAAGTTCTGGTTCTAAATTCCTTACAGGTTTAAACAAGTGTCTTCTGGTAAAATTCATTTTTAAATATACTCTACATTTGTTTATATATTATTTGTTGGAGCAATAAAAAGACATAATTAGTGAGAAATATAGATGTACATGGATAATAACATCTTCATTAATTTAAAGTTTTATTTCACAGAAATATTTGAGAACATTAGAATATTTCTTATAAATTAAATGTTTTATTAGAAAGAAGAAATAGTATTTTTGAAAATTTTAAAATTCAATAGTAAAGACTAAGTGATTTAATGATGAAAATAGCTGTTTTGGCATATACATTAATTTCCTGCACTTAATTACGTTTATTTAGTGACTGACATTTATTTATTAAAGTAGCTACCAAAAGATTCTTTATTTGAATAGTGGATGAGTTCTGAGGATTAAGTAAAAATTTTAAGAAATATTTCATATGTTGGAAAATGTTACATGATACAATAAACTTATCTGTAACCTAAAAAAAACATGAAAATAAAACAACAAAAAAGATTTAAAATAATTATTTTACAAACTAATTGATAATTGATTTAATGAGTATGTTTGAATCCATAAGATAATGAAGTAGAGGTCATTTATGGAGGAATAATGTTGGTTTAACTTTTAGAAAGGTCCTTTGGGTGTCCTAGTCAGTGAAAATTACTTTATATGTCTAAGCAATTACAATAAACCAAGCAACATAATTTAATAACTCAGCAAATGGACTCTGTAGTCAGAGAAACAGGATTCAATTCTGGCTTTGAAACTTACAACACGTGACTTTTAAAAAGTTACAGTCAAGTAACCTTAACAGTACTAATCTACAGTGAAAACAATATGTAAGACATTGTGCATGTAATAATTAGCACCCCACCTCTCAAAAGTGTTAATTATCTCAATTATCATTTTAGTCACAATTTCTGTGTGATTATTTGTGATTCATTTATGTCCTGTAAAATAATTGAATAAGTAGAAGTCTCTTTCATCAGTATGGTCGATCTTTTTCCCCAGGTTTGTTCCAATTTTTAAGTACTTTGATTGTTTATAATTAAGTTTATCTTAACATTTTACAGAAACTACCTCATCCTGACATTTAGTAAAAATCAGGCTGCTTTTATTCAATCTAAATAAGTGTGTAAGGAATTGCATTTGGCCTTTATTGGGCAATGAATTACTTTTTAAACATCTATTTGTAAAGACTGGGCAAAATATAAATCAACATATTACTAGACACAAAAAAACACACCATGTACTGATTATAAAAATCCAAAATGAATGATTCCTTGTCATGATGTTTGTGGATTCAACATTAAATTATTTAGATGTATAAACCCAGCTATGCATGTGTATATACACATTTGATTAATTTCCTACAGGCAACAATTTAAGAAATCCTTCAACATATTTCATATTTTATGATAGTTTTTAAACATGAATTATTCAAATAAAAGCACTATTTTTCTCTCACATAGAAATATTAATCATAACAAACACTAATTTCCACTTGGTTTGTTGTATATTAGTTGACCTTCAGTGCATCACATCTGGGCATTTGTTTGTCCCACTGTATGAGACAGGCTGTTAGAGAGACAGGAGAGTAGTGACACATATCTTCTGTCAGCCGGAAAGTCGTGCATCCTTTAGTGGGGAAGCCAGATGGCTCTCAACAAAGTGGCCTGCCATAGATGGGTAACAGAAGGAGAAATTGAAAACCATAAATTCAGGACCAAAATAAACAATATCTGTTACCTTCACAGGCTGCCCTGTGAAGGCTCAGAGTGAAACTATAGTGGAAAAAGTATCTCATCAATGTGTCATTTCAGGTTTGAACAGGAAATTCTCACACCAAACTGAGTCAGTTTATTTCATCTCACACCTCCAGAATACAGGAGACTTTGGGCTCCAGCTGAACAGACAAAACACCTCTAAGTGTGTCATTTAGTCTGTCCACTTACAAATGCTTCTGGGGAATTATTGTTTTCATATTGTAACATATGGGGGCATCCTTCACTCAGTGTTGCCTATGTCCTTCCAGACATCCCCTTTATTCACCAGTGATGATGAATCACAGCCTTCGATTCCTCAATGTCCATGTTCACGAACCTCCTGCAACCTGGCCACTCAGTACCTTTGCCTCCCATCTCCACATGACTTCTGCACTGTGCCTCAGCCAATCACCCCATGGGAATGCATTGGTCTTTGTCATATGTTTAAATGTTTCATCTCAGAAGTACGTTTTTACTTTATTTATTGGGGTTACATTGGTTAATAATGTTATATAGGTTTCAAGGGTAGCCCTGGCTGGTGTGGCTCAGTGGACTGAGTGCTGACCAAAGGGTCACTGGTTAGATTCCCAGTCGGGGCACATATCTGGGTTGTGGGCCAGGTCCCCAGCAGGGGGTACATGAGAGGTAACCACGCAGTGATGTTTCTCTCCCTCTCTTTCTCCCTCTTTCTCCCTCTCTCTAAAAATAAATACAAAATTTAAGAAAAAGACTATATAGGTTTCAAGGGTAGGTTTCTCTGCTACTTCATCTGTATATTGCATTGTGTGCCCATCACCTAAACTCAGATCATCTTCCGTCACTATACATTTGGCCCACTTTACTCCCCTCTATCACCTTTCCCTCTGGTAACCACCATACTGTTGTCTGTGTTTATCAGCTTCATTTTTATATCCCACATATGATTCTACTCAAAATTGTGTTACTAAGGACTCCCATCATCCACAAATACCCTTATCTGCACAGCTTACTTGTTCATCTCTTTCAGACATGAAAACAGAATTAGTCTCTCTTTGTTGGCATTAGCCTCTCTGGCTTTGTCTCCAACTCCATTTGGCTCTAATGTGTCCATCTGCTTCTTCCTTCTCCTTCCTCCTTATCTGGCTTGATTGCATAATAGTTTTCACTTCTGCCAATACACAAACTCCCTTGAACTTTCTTTTGGTCCCAGTGTTCAACATAATCATTATCTTACAATGAAATTAATTATCTCTTTCTCTCTTTGGGTGTCTGAGGAGCCAAGTGCTGTAAAACAGGTCAGATTTATTAGAATACAACTTCATGGTGACTAACATGAAATTGCTTTAGATGTCTGGTCAAGATGGCAACATAAGGAAATGTGGTACACAAATCCTTCCACAGCCACGTCAAAATTACAATTAAACTACATACCAATCATCATTTAGCCCCACCTAAAATCTAGCTTATTGGAATTCCTACAACAAGAGATTTAAAGAAGAAGCCACATCAAGACTAGCAGGAAGGAAGAGATGAAGAACAGACTAGTCCCATACCCACATGTGTCAGATAAAAACTGGGAGGGATCTTGGGTGTGGAAATCCTCCTTGAGTAACAAAGGGTTATAGCTCCACACCAGGCCTCCTAACCCAGGGTTCCAAAGTCAGAGAAGTCCCCATAACTTGTGGTCGTAAAAACCAGCAATCCAGTGGGGATTGTGGCCAAGAGAGATGGAGGACTCCTGGAGTTCCAGGCAGTCCTTCTTAAAGGGCCCATGCATGAATTTGGTTGGACTCACTCCCTCTGAGCTCCAGCACTGGAGCAGCAGCTGGAAAAGGACCAGAGACATACAGGGAGGAGCTGAATTGCCTGGCATCTGGGTGAGAGGTGGGGAAGCAGCCTTCTGCCAGACAAAGTGCTACCAGAAGCCATGGTTTTTATTCTGAGATCCCCCATACATACACAGAGCTGGGAGGCAGGAACTGCATCTGAGTCTCCAGCAAGCTGGCTCTCACTCTTCTCCAAGCCCTGGAAATTCCCATATACTCCACCCTAGCCAACCTGTGGGCCCACCCAAGCCATTTCCAGTGGCTTTATCATGCAAATGACCTTTCTTGCTTCATGCTTTTGACTCTCCAAAAATCTCTCAGACAAGCAGTATCTGGCTTCTGCATTCCCTATACCTCTTCCTAAGTGGCCCCAGGCCCAGCACTAGCAACAACCAGCCTTGGTTCACATCTTGGCTTCTGCTGGCTTCACACCTCCAAACCCAGCACAAGTAATGGCTATCTTCAGATCACTCTGTAGCTCCTGCTGGATGGTTCCAAACAGGGCTCAGGAAGTGGCTGACCTTGTAGCTTCTGGGAAGCCCCAGAACCATTGTACTGGGTGGACAGCTTCAGACCTCATGGGATAACAACCCTATTACCACCATGAGTCACATACTCAAGGGAAAGACTTGCTAAGTACCCAAGTCCCACAGAAGCAAGTCTTACTCTGTAGGATTGGCTCCTATCCAGCAGCTCCTCCACTGTAATTGTAGCTGGTTCTCATAGCCATTAGGCCTGGGGGTCAGTCCCTCCCAGTAATGCCAAAGCAATCAAGACTCAACTATAAGAGGACACAAGGGTGCACCTGCAGCACACAGGTCAGGTGACTAGGGAGGTTTCACCACTGGGTCCCTCAGGACACAGAGTACACAAAACAATTCTACTAAGTCTGGGAGATGTAGCAACTCTACCTATTACACAGAAACAAATACAAGGAAGCAGAGACAAAGAAATGCATCCCAAATGAAAGAACAAGAAAAATCTACAAAAAAAATAACTAAATGAGATGGAGGCAAGCATACTACCAGATACAGAGTTTAAAACAATGGTTATAGGGATACTCCAGGAACTTAATGAGAACTTCGAGGAACCGAGAACTTCAATAGCAACCATAAGAAACAGCCAGTCAGAAATGAAGGGTATACTAACTGAAATGGAGAATTTACAGGGAATTGATAGAAGTGTAAATGAAGCTGAAAATCAAATAAGTTATTTGGAATACAAGAAAGCAAAAAACACTTAATCAAAAGAGTAAAAAAATAAAAGAATCTGAAAATGAAGATAGTGTAGAACGCTTCTGGGAC